GAAAATCCACGAGAAACCTTCTCCGTCAGTTTAGCAGGTCGCCACCGGTCGCCCACCCGGAGTGAGAGTTCGCGGTGCTCCACATAGATGGCGCCACAGAAAAAGAGAAAACCGAGGGGGACACAATCCGGTCGCTCATTTGGCTCTCGTTTCCCCACCTGTCTATCTTACACCCTGCGCGAGTCCCACGAAACGCGAAACGACGCCATGTTGTGAATTATGCAGTGAACGCACAAAATGCTTCCGATTGTATGTGCAACTTTTTTTTTAATCAACGTATTTGCAGCTTTTTGGAAGCCACGAAAAGTGGGTTTCCAATTTTTTATTTTTTTTTATTTTTAGTATTGACTGTGTGCCTTCAATAACCCACGACTTTGATTAAATTTGGTGGTCGTGTCTAAACCTTAGAAAACGGCCCGTGACCACGGAAAAGAGAATGAGCGCGACTCAAACAGGCCAGTTCTCTATCGGTGGTTTTTGGGCGGAAAGGAACAGGAATTTCAAGCCGCAAATTTTGTTCTGGGTAGTTGGATATGTCACGTACAACTAAAAACCTCGGTGAGCATAAATACCTGTCAGTGTCCCTTCAAGGTGGAACATATGCCTGTCGTAACATGGAAGTACTGCTAGAGAGAAACTTTAAAAGCAGGTCGGGAATCAAGGTTTTCTTTTTTTTTTCCCGGATTGGTATTTGGGAGGTGTGCAGCGAGATGACTAGACACCATTTCCCCCATCGCTGCTGTGTATAAGATTTCGAAAATTGGAAGAGAGCTTTACCTTCGGAAGTTCTTTAAAGCATAAAATGCCTTAGCAACATCACTTAGGGTAAAGAAGGGGGAGGGAAGGGAGAAGAGGAATGGGGTGGGGGAATCGGTGTTTCATGTGACGTATATTTTCCCGCTAAATGTAGCGGAGAAACGGAATGGTTCAATAAGTCACGTGACGTCGATTTCCCCCGCTAAAGGTAGCGGGGAGTCTGCATTGGTGTGTAGGTCACCGTGACTTCACTTTCCCCGCCAAATTTAGCGGGGAAACTGAATTGATGTTTTGACCACAAGACGTTAATGTTCCCGCAAAATTTAGCGGGAAAACTGAGTTGACGTATAGGGTTACCTGCCGTCCATTTGTCAATTTCACTTTCTCTATTGTGACGTCACGGGAAATCAGGTGACATCATATTCCCCGATAAGTTTAGATAAAATTTATGGACGGACGGACACAACTTTGGGGGTTGGGTGTAGCGTTAAAAAGCATGTTATGCCTAAAAACCCGTTTTTATTGGGATGATATTTTTTTATCATGAAATATGGTGTCACCAAATAATGTATTTAGAGCGCCCTATAAGCGACTTGCGCGAAAGCTGTGAACTAACTGTGATACCTGAAGAAATTGCGTAGAATGGCATTCCAATGACAAAGCCGTCCCGTCATTGTAGAACTAATCAAAACTGCAATGACTAAAAGAAACGGCAGAAAGAAGGAAAGAGGTTTCAAGTCATATCTATTTCTCACGAGCTCCAAGCATTTATATCGATGTGACTTCACGGTCAACACAGCGCTCTCGCGCTGACTATTACGCTACACTAGAACGATGATCAGTCTACATTTCCTTCCCTTTAAAAAAAAAAAAAAAAAAGGTCACAGTATTGCACAGGATGTTTCGGCCGCTTGCGGCAGCGGGAGCTCCACCGTTGCGGTTGGTTTTCCGCAGTTGGCGCTATTGGCGGCAGAGCTGTCGCTACTGGGGTTCGATTTTCGTCACCACGAGAGCGAGAGCAAAATCTACTTCGCATCTGAGAGAAAATGCGGTCATAAACAAAACGCGAGCAAAGAACGCGATTCGTTTGCTACGGTGCGTTACTTTTAGATGAGAAAAAAGAAAAACGCATTGCGTCGTCTGCTAACAGACGTTTATCGTCTGCTATGAACCGAACGCTGTGGTGAAGTAAGATTAGACGATGGCTGAAAATATGCTCGTCTGCTACTTTAAGTTCGGAAGCCACTGATAACTCGTAGTCTGTTTGCAAGTCTCAAGCTCTTTTTTTTTATATTCATACATACTGCTGGCTCACATTTGAGAGCTGTAACAGGTGTGGGCGGTACATTAACAGATGAAAGCAAAAACACCCGCTGCCGTACACAAACTAATGAAACCCGACGGATGTAGGTGTACGAAGGACAAGCCTATCAAAGGCCGCAATATCTCTCGCTATCTGTCTGTTGGTGAAACGTTTACACCACGATATTGACTGATCATCAAGCTGCAAATAGGTCCAAAATGTCTCATTGATTGATTACATGCAAGTTGTGGCGCCTCGTCCAATAAACAATCTAGAACACTCTTGTTCTCACCTTGACCAAGGCCGGACCCCTGGGACAGGTGGCGCCCCCGGCCACTCAAGGCTTATCCGTGGAGCCAAGGAGGTTAGAAGACATGGTGAGGGCTTTACGTCATTTTTGAAGCCTAGCTAGTAATAAAAAACGTTAACAAGGAGAATGTAAACATCAACAAGATTTGATAAACACCGAAAAACCTGGCGCAAATCACATGTTTTTTTTTTGTTTCTTTTTTTTTTTTTTGCGTTGAGTTGCTTTTGCGGGAATTCAGGGAGGGCGTTCAAGACGGTTGGGCGCCGCAACGAAAGTGTGTGGCGTCGCGCGTTGCCGCGATAAGGCTTTGCTGTGTGAGCTGCTGCAAAAGTCGCACCGGTTTTTCTTTCACGGGAATTTCGTTCTACCTGATAGGCCCTCGTGCCTTACATTCCGAATTTTTCAGTAACGTGAAATAATCTGTGATTCTCCGACGCTCGCCGAACTGAGAAAGCGAGGGTTTTTGTTCTTCGGACACCGTCGCGGCAATGCCGACCCCATCGAATAGGATCCGAGTGTGCGGACTCTGTGACTCTGTGCACCTTAAAGCAGATGACAAGAACGTGTCGAAGGAAGTGAATAAACTTTTATTGTAGCGACGTGTGACAAACTCTCGGGTGGAGCCCGTAGTCCGGGGCCCCATATGTGGCGGCGACCGCCTTGGCGCGGTCCACCAGCGATTGCTGGCCAGTGGCCGTGTCATCGGTCAGCCGCTCCTCCCAGGAGGTGGGGGTGGGATTGAGATTGGGTGGGACGGCGGGAATGAGCTGGCACTGCCAGACCATGTGAAAAGGAAATGTAGAGACTCACTGCTCCAGTGAGAGGACCTACATTAGCTACTTCTATTCCTAATCTCATATATCCTACCCACTGGTGAAAAAAAAAAAAAAAAAGAAACGCGCGTAATTCGGACGTTTGGGTGATGGAGAAAGATATAATTGTTACTTGCAAAGCACATCAAGCGACACATGTATTGTTCTAAAATATACATCAAATGAAAAAGAGGGAAACTAAATTACAACAGAAAGGATGCTGACGCGGAGAACGCGCAGTCGTCGGCCGGCTAAACCTCTCAAACTCGTCTAACTCGTCAACATACGCAAAGTGTGAAATGGACCTACAGATTTTCCGCCGGTCACGATATCTTTACACAGCCACACGCTTGTTCGCTCTGTTCTAGAAACATCTATTAAGTTCATTCGCACATACGTGAGGTCGGACGCAATCGGCGTTCGATGTTTATCAGTTTCTATTCGTACCACCCGGAACACCAACCGACGTACACGAGTAAGTTCATCGTGATCACGTTTTGCGTGACTATCCGACAGCGCACATACCAACTATTTTTTTTTTTGCTTTGTCCACGAAGGACATAATGGCGATCGTCAATAATCACCGAGTTTTCTGAAAAGACGATCAGAAGCAAACGCCGCGGACATTCACGCATTCCTCGACCGCCGTTGTTATGACGCGAGATTTGATAGTGTCGTCATGTTATGCATCGCATTTTCTCGCAATGAGCTCTTTTGTGATTGACTGTACAACCATCAACAGCAGTGAGCATCACTTGATAGAGACCTCCAGCTGAGGAGGTTTGTTTTGGTTTTGCGCGGGGGAGCGAGAAAGCGTGACGAAGGTGCGAGCGTCTAGACTCTAGAAGGTATGACTTCCGGAAGCTACAGGGCTGACGTAATAGCCTCTCTACGGCTCCTAACCTCCTTGCGTGAAGCTAAATCAACCGTTATCTCTGGGGCAGACGTCGAATCAGTCGCATATAAAGTAGCTAGAACTGGTGCCGTTGCTGTCGGTCGGGGCAGTCGCACTTGCTGGTGATCAGGTCAGGACCGGGATCGGGAAGTTACTGTGTAATTGCACCTGGGGGTCGACTAACGCTTCACGTTTGGGACTTGCGACGGGGTCTCCATATCTAGAGCGCCTCTGAGTGGAGTTCGGGAAACGAAGCTTGTTGAACACTTTCGCGACGTAGTCAATGTATACGCAATAAATATATGGTCTAGAATTTAGTTTCTGCAGTTTTCTGAGATATATTCTCTAGGGAAGTATTTGCTTCCATCATGCCGTCCCCTGCTTTATTCACCTCTCGTTGCACTCGGGGAATTTTATGCATGCAGGACTGGCACGCCCAATTCGCTTCTTCCGGTGATATTTTCGACTTTTTTAGTGACATGGCTGGCACCGTCGGCGAATCCTAGTGCTTAATTTCTGCTAAGCACATCCGGGGGAAATGTTTTGACAGCTGATATGATTGAAGGAGGTCTATTAGCTTACATGGATACAAAAATGAGATATAAATAATTATAAAGACTCGAGCGGTTTCGTTTGATATCATGGCACTTGCACCCAATCCGACAACGCCCTCAACACTCGCTGGAAAGGAAACAAGAGCTCGAAAGACTTTTTTCGTGACAGACGTTGTCTTTTTCGCTTTTACTAAGCCCAGTAAGGGAACTGTACAATTGTATGTGGCGAGAAATCAAACAAAATACGATAAAGTTTTGGATCCTCTGTTTTGGATAATTCAGTTACAATAATAAAATTAATACACCTAATGACACTAAGACGTACCGCCGTTCAGCCGAGGGTATCTATCCCCTTGTAATGGGAAATACTTTAATCTGAATCAGACGAGTCCTTTTCCTCAGGGTCAACAGGGTCAACAGAGAGTTCGGCTTGAACCTGGTTTGCCTTCCAGGAGAGATACATGTTCCAGAACAACGAGATCACACTCCCGTACATTGGACGATAAACGATGGGCACAAACTCGAAGTTGATGAACTGGGCCAGTGGATAGACGATGACCCTCGAACATAGCAGAGCAACGTACTTCGTCCTGATGCTCTTTCCGATGTTCTTCCAGGACTGTCCTTTAAGAAGGCCGTAGACAACCAGCAGGCCTAGCGTAAACAATGGACTGTAAAACACCTGACTTACGAGGACTTTGATGACGGTGGCTGCGACCCCGTCTATCGCGATAAGTCGTTCCACAATGCCGAACCAGGCCACTGAGATCGGACCGGTGTAGAACAGGCCGACGACGAAGAAGTTGACGGATTGTCTTGCATCGAAGAAGGGCTTCTTCTGGAAGAATGTCTGGGAAATGACATCGCCGGCTAGCAGCAACGCCGCGATGGTCAAAATTTGCGTGATGGCAGGATGCGTGTTCAACATATCTTGATAGAGGACTATTAGGTGTTCCATGTCGGAGCCTAGGTGCCCGCTTGATGTCAGTACAGGTGTATGGAGCTACAAACACATCCCTCATGGTAGGTGTGGTTATGCGCGGTCGACAGCGGTGAGTTTTGATAGCGATCGGGTATCGCCGGATGCAGATGTTTCGAGCTCAGAGTAACGCACGATGCCGGGAGCCCTGTATTTCTTTTTTTAACAGCAGGTCTACAAACTCTTGATAACATTTTTAATTCTAATGGACCGCGCGTTTGTTTCCATCTGTCACTGGGGGTGGAGACTTCCATGACAACGACTCGTGCGCTCGCAATTTATACGAAATGTGTTCATTTTATGGTTGGTCTGTAAAAATATTTTTTTTTTATAGTGAATGCACGGATGTTAAGGAGTAGGTGAAACTGTCTTTATATAAAGTTTAGAAAACGCGACCAATATTTTGTTAATGATGTTCTAGTTATCAGCTCAGTACTAGAAAATAAAACACCTTCCGATACCAGTATATTTTTTTGGAAATTTCGTCTCTCTCCGGTACTACTAAGATTTTTATACCTAACTGCGACAATTTTTTATCGCAATAGTTTTTATCGCTATCTTATACATTAGTTGAGGTAGTCAGCGCATCGCGTTATCAAAGATGTTGATGTCAACATAACAGCGCGCAGAGAAAACAAATTTGGTATGACAAACTTCAAATAAACCTTTTCGAAGCCTTAGAGGGTGGCTCACATTTTTCTAATAGCGCAACTCTTTGGTGAGCTCGTGTACATTAAACTCTGTCATGTACATTAAACTAAGTTTCTTTGCCAGATGTCCGCTTACACGCTGAGGCTTCCATGAGATTTCTCTCAATTAAAGGGATAATACAACGAAATTTCGGCGCTCATTTTTTCGTCTTTATGTGTTCAAAGGAGCAGTATCACACCGAACATACCAATATCTTGTTAAAATGTCTCGAAAAGGAATTTTAAAACGAATTAAACGATTAGCAAAGAGCACCTGATGTCGCTAACGCCTCGCTTGTAATGCCCGTCTAGGAACCTTAACAGCTAGTGACGGTGAGTGTATCGCCTCCGGCCACGACGAGAGAAGAGGGGAAGGAGGAACTCCCCTCTTCCCGAGAATGCCTTTCGTACGTCGCAGAGGTCGCTATTGTCCCCCTACAAGATCATAGAAGATTAACCTGTCACTCAAAATTCGTACAAAAGCAGCCGCTTCAGTGGCTGGAACGACTAGGCCATTTTCTCGACGTCAGCCTCGCCGTAGCTTCGCTCGTCCCGAGACGACCTACGTCACGATTGCGTTGGATGTCACGTGGTCTCCGCTGGGCCCCCTCCGAGCGCTTGCTAGAGTAGGCCATTTATAACAAAAAAAAATGCAACCACCAGGCTCAAAATACAAACGTGCGATTGTCATTTACGGATATTGTGGATCATATTCAACCTATTTTTGAACACGACGGGAATATTTCAAACTTCGTAGAAGTATCCCTTTAAGAAAGTAATCGATTCCAGCCTTTTCTGGAACAACACAGAGATTATATTATAAACAAAGCGCGGCAACACCCTAATGCCCAAAACTAATTCAAACAATGCTCCACTAAAAATGGGCCTGAGACACTGAGCACGACAACTAAGGGATGGCGATTTAGTTGGCGTCCAAGGAAACTTTTCGTTGAAAAGTAGCCTAATAGGCGGTGTTATCCAGAAGCGTCATGGTAGCGACGGTTGCGGTTTGCGTGAGTATAATGAATTTGCAGGGAATAGCTGTACGAGGAAAAAAAGATGCTCCATATCGGCCACGTGGCAGCTCTTGCTCTTATGCTTTTGAAAAGCAGTAATAACAACGGCTGAGCGGCGTTTTCATTGTGCACTCTAAACTTTAATCGTAAAAAAAAAAACAAAAAAAAACTTTGCACCCTAAAAAGTGAGTTTAAGCACTCTCTAAAAGGGCTCTTCGTTCATAACCTATAAAGGATTCATTTAATGTCATTTTTTATGCGAAATACTTTTTTTATCGCCCGGGTACCTTTGAGGTGAACCACGGGGTGATAGTGGGGACTTAAGACGAAACAGTTTTTCCCGAGCTGAAAGTCTTCTTGGTGCGTCTAAAAACATTTCAATAACGGATTTTTTTATTTTTGTTTAGAGTGTACGCGAACGAAGTATATTATCTATGAGATCATAAGCACAGCTTGTATGCCGGCACAAAATTAATAGATTTCTGTCTTTCATGCGGACTACGTGCAATTGTTTTTTTTTGTTTTTGTTTTTTACGTTTGGGGGAGCCATCCGGGTCACTTGGAGTGTCCATTTGGTTTGGTGAGAGTTTTGCCCTCCTGAACGCTCTCACTCAACACTTGTTCTCACCTAACCTTATTTAGAAGGAGAATTATTTGGCGTTTTTTTCGTTTCCGATTCTGCAAATACTATATCCCTAACGACTTACATTGCTTTAATTTTTTGTTTGTTTTTGGATCTGTCAGTTTCGTTTTGCACATTTGGCTCTCTAAAGCCAAGAATTGCGATTGTGGTTAATACTGTCGTTTCGAATAAGATAGGCGTTCGTTGAAACGTTGTGCACACACAAACTCGTGTTTTGAGTTTTTACCAGACAAAATCTACCGCTATAACTGTCTTTAAAAGAGTATTTCTAAGTTTGCATTTGGTCTTTATTATTTTAAATTAAAACGTAAGCAGGCTATATACACTGTGGAATTTAGTACATAGCGTGTATGCAAGAGTCTAATAGAAACATTAAATTTAAAGTTAAAAGAAGAAAGCAAGCAGAACCTTAATAAATGTTGCTCCTAAATATGAAACTATAAATGAAAATGAGGAACTGAGCAGAGTAAGGGTTTTCTCAGCGCTGTTCACTCTTCGTAACCATGCTCAACCAACTGGCCCAAACATCCACCCTACTTCTGTCAGGTGTATTTTTTTAATAAAAAAACATGATTTTACACGCAAATACATTTGACCACTCGGTCCCCTGTTTTATAACTTTTAATTTGGTATGTGTTAAAACAACAAATATCAGAAGCTTTCTAGAGATGTGCATCAATTCCTTTTGAAAGCTCCACTTTTAGATTCCATAAAAGTCGTTAACATAATATACCAGTGGTCTCAATTTCATTTGAGTGAAGGGGCCAGAAAGACCACACTGGGAAGGCCGAGGGCCAAGGTTAGACCGGGGGGGGGGGGGGAGGAGGGGTGTATCAAACGATTTGAAGCAGAAGAGAGGTCGTGCTCTATGCATTTTGTCGAGGTTGGTTTTGCCAGTGACTTCTTTAGCCTTGATAGTTTTATATGACTACTTTGGGGCCTATCCTGATGTAATAACAATAATTAAAATGACACCGCCCCGCCAATGTGTTCACATTTTTAATATAACAAAGAAGCAAGTGCGCTGTCGTTCCCCTTGCTCAATTCACTCTAGAATTAACCAAGCTCAGCATTTCTCTACAAAACAATCAGAATTTGGCAGTTCTCGCTTTACTGACGAATTCCTTTACAACACCCATACTTGGTTTTTAATGGCCATATATATATATATATATATATATATGTGTATATATATATATTTTTTTCTTTTTGTTTTAAGGCGAGAATACCGAGCTTGTAGCTTTATCTTCGACAGTTGCTCCTGCTGATCGAGATTTCGCGCAGTCAAGATGCTTCCTTCAACAAAGAGTTCGCGCTTGCAGCCTATAGCGGAATTGTTGTGAATTACAAAAAACAAAAACGAAAACAAAACTGGGGAGCAAAGCATAAACGAAACAAAGGGCAAACGAACCCAAATAAGTTATAACTAGATGAATAAATTTAAAAAAGGGGGAGCTACTTATCGGTCGAAAATGAATCGGCGAGTTGAGATCACGAATCCACGATGACACACGCCATTTATAGTGCTCGAAACATGGGAACCGGGACTCGTAGCCGGTTGCCTGCGGGCCGCATGCAGGCCGCGGACGGCGTGTTTGAGACCCCTGAAGTATAGACTATTCATAAAAATGTGGCTTATACATTATTGCTCAAATTTTGATACCCGTTCTTCAACAAGACTTTGATCTCACAAGTGACCCCTTCTCTTCCACATACTAATCACACTCGAGCTTATCTGACGCTCTAGTAATGGCGACACACACTGAATGTTATCTAGTTTTTATAGCATTTAGACGACAAGTTTTGCCGTTTATAACGGCCAAAAGACGTCTTGATCTTTTTGAAGATCCCCAAAAACGATTTTGACAAGAATCATTGTACTTAACCACAATATAAATGGTGCTTCCTATAGTAATTGTGGGCTTCATGCCATTCAAAGTTATCTATCTATTCTATATCGGCGATGATCAGTCAAGCGGCAGAAGCCTACATGTTAAGTAATGCTTTACCACACTGGAAGTGACACCTCATAGAAATTAACAAAACTGCTCAGGCAGGTGGGCTTGATCCACTTCGCTCATTTTTATTCATCACGAAGATGGGCGGCATTGTTGTCCTTTCAGAATTGTTGGCCTTCCAGGATACGTAGGGGACTAAGACAAGCGTCAAAATAGGTACGAGGGACGGTAGTTCACAGTCTCAAACTGGAAGTTGACCAACAGCGCCTCCGGAAAGATCATATTGGAAATATCATATATATCGTCGTCAGTATCTTAAAATACTTGGTGCTTATGGCTTACTTTGTCTGCCGCCAAGTGTGCCGATAAAGGACGTCGTGAAGAATCAGGAATCCGACGCCCAACACGTTCGAGAATTATGTCTGACCCAACAGCATCCTCACGAGTGCACCGTAGAATCCATTCATGACCTATAGGCGTTCCACAATTCCGTACCATAGCGAAACCAATGAACGCGTATATGTAGGATTCTACGTTTTCAGAGTTTTTTTAATAAAAAATTCGGAAAGTGTTTTTTTTAGTTCATTTTTTTCGCAAAGTCGGAGTTTCTCGGACACTCGTTTATGACACTCGAAATTTTGAGTTTTTATATACTTTATTTGAATATCTGGCCAAAAAGAAGATACCCAGATAAAGTGTCGAGAAAGCTACACGAGGCGTTTGAGGTTAAAGTCAAAGCCAGCAGGTGTACAAGTGGCACGCTCATAACCTTATCGGCAAAAGAATATGAGTTTCTTGATAGAGAGCCACACCGGTTGGACTCACGTTTTTCAGGGCTATATAAGGAATTGGTTTATCAATAAATGTTAGTTGCTAGTGCGCCAGTGCTAACGTGAACTTCTTGTGCCTGTATATTTTTTGAAGCTTGTCTAAGATCATGAACCGACTGGCCCAAAGGGCCACATTAATGCTACCAACTTAATACGGCATTTCTGTCGTCAACGAGGATGACAGGGGAACGTGTGCAAAGGTTCAATGTGCAACAAAAGGAGGTCACAGGAGAGCGAGCGAAGGTGTTAGAAAGAAAGGTATCCGGGAGGAAGGCCCCCACTACAACTGGCTAAGTATTCGACTTTGGTTCGGCCATTGTCGCGGAAAGGACGTCTGCTTTTTCTGATAACGGTTCAGAGAAAATAATTCTTTAAGCCTTTGGAAGGGAAAAAGTGGAACGAACGAGCTTGGAATCAATGAAAAGTGGACGAAAAAAGTGTCTTTGAATCTCAGAAAAAGTTCTATTTTTTTTTTTTTAAGTAGGGTTTCTGGATTTAGAATTTTTCGGATAAATCAGAATGCGAAATAAGTTTACCGTCAAGTGAATTTCGGGTTTTAGCGGATTTATCCGAAAACGCAAAAACCTACGTATAGGCAAGACGGATGACTTAGATGGCTGTTTGCTTCACGCCTTTTCATCCCATTCCTTACTTCTTGCTATTTGCTCCACCACTCCCCTCTATAATGCCTATGCCTTGAGTGTAGGTGTAAAAATTAATAAATAAATAAAATAAGAATTTTTCATGTTGGTAGGCTGCCTGTGATATGACGTCTCTGGCGAGTGTCATTATGGCCATGGTCAGGATCTGCGTGATGTGTGCCTGCACGTTCAACTCCTCGGTGTACGAAAAACCAAGTACAGCATGTTGGAGGAACGGGTGAGCCTACATTCGGTGCAGACGGCGCGCTCGAAGCTCGTTGTTCGGTGAAGTTCACGGGAAAACGCTGTTGAAGGCGTTATGGAATGAGGACGGAATGGATACTGACGTTAGATGTGAAGCACACACGAATAAGGTCGTTTTATGGCAAACAGCTTTAAGAAACCAGTTGAATGTTTTGTTTTTCCAGATTAAACTGATATTTTCGTCGATGTTGTGGTTCGTTGGTATACAAGCGGAAACTGTCACGCTTAACTTTTGTTGAGCTAGTTATCCTTTATGACAAGAGCTCCATTTGCACCACTCGCCTCTAGGGGATGTTCACTGGTGGCCACAGCTGAGTCTGTAGCTGCTCAGCGCATGTTGACGACGAGCTTCCACCGTGCCTTTGCAACGTGCATTCCACACCATCAGGATTGCCGGTCTTGGGAACCTATAAGTATGAACTCCTTCTGAGGATGCCAAGTGCACAGTGCAGTCATAAATGCCGTCCAGTGACCAGAATGAGAACGGCAGGGAGGAGTTTCAGTCGCGATGCCTTCAGGGGCGACCTTTCTTATTTCAATAACTCTTCGGCGTCTCTAGCGTGCACGCGGAGTCAAAGCACTGCGGAAGGTGACGAGCGCATGCTGGAGGCCGGGCGTTTGAAAAAGATGCCCTGCCCTTCTCACCCAGTCAGTGACAAAGGCAGGACCCACATTGTAATAGGTATTGTCGCGGATGGGAAAGGATCGACAAACGTAAACGTGAAATTGAAGCTTTAACCGGTGAACTTGTGCCAGAAACAAAAAAGAGGAGGAGCGTCGAAAAAGCCGAAGCGAGCGTCGAGGCGTCGGCGTGAGAGCTGGCTAGAGAGAGACTTACTCTGCAAGGCCATGCTGGACTCCTTATCTAGTACATTCGGTATCTTGAACATTTGGCCTAAAAGGTTCAACCGTCTAATATTTGAGGTAAGAATAAACACGAATATTCTAGCAGAACGGAAAATAACGAATTAATGAACGTAAGGTCCGGCGCCGGGCATCCAGCCCCGAACGCCTCCGTGACAGCCACGTGCGTTCTCCTTGGCCACGCACGCGGCAATAAAATAAAGATTAGGCGGAAACTGTACTCCGTTTCGCCTTACGTCCGTACGCAGCGGACGCTATGAGCTGTCTAGCCAATCCCATTGTGTGGACGCACCCCGTGATACGCTGTCCGCGCGTCACTGAGCCCGCTCTCCGAGGTCCTGTGTCACTTACACAGCTTTGTATAGGCTTTGATGGCTCGTAGCATCCGCTGCGCTCGGACGCAATGTGAAACGGAGTATAGCGTAGGAGTAAGCTGACACTATTCCGGCCACTTTTGCAACCAATAGATATTTAAGAATTATCTTACAAACAAAACAAAACGTTAAGTTTTTGTTTTGTCACAATGCAAGTAAGGCAACTCACATAAAAGTTTAAGATTGAGTTGGGAGTAGCTGATAATTAAGAGTTTGACATTCATAACGGTTTTTTTAAGACTCTGACCTCATGAATGTTATCTTATGTACTTACTTCGTTCTATTGTATGAGAGTACGTAACTGAAAGCCAGAAAGGAACTTTTTAAACATATTTAACTTAACATGATGTGAGAGGAGACAATATGCATAACATACATAGGCCCGTGTCAGTTTGTTTATTGAATTACGTAGGACGTAGGTAATTCAGAATCATAAACGTGAACATCGGCTTCGGGGCTTCGTGGTTTGACGCATACCGGTAATATAAACCTGATTATTTTCTAATCAGCGTTTACATGTCAAATTAAACACAGTGGTTTCACGAGATAACACACCCCAATAAATCTCGGAACTAAGTTATTGATCTATTTTACCATGCTGTGCGGTCAGGTTGTCAGTAGTCCTCCTGAAGTAGTGAATCTTCCCCATTACAGCGAAGCTGCAAGTCGCCATTCATCAACGGCGATAAACTCATCGCTCCAGAGGCGTCCAACGACCTAGTTAGCATAACTGTATTAGCTCCAACCATGGCGGAGGACACGCCCTCTTTGGTGTTTCTTAAATAAAGAATATCATTAAGTTGATTTTCTCGGACAGTAATCCGATTATCTGTTCGATTCCTGCTTGGCAATTATTAGTTAGAAGTCTGTCCCCCAAATTGATAGATTGCAAGTAATCGGGTTGCTTGTTAAGGCTGCCGCACAGGAGAAGCGAAGGCAGGTTGTTCTTCGGCCGTTAAACCAATTAATATTTGTTCCGATACTTACAGAGGTGAATTCTTGTTTCTCATTTCCGGCCCATGTTTATCCTAACATGGCGGAAAGATTACCTCAGAAATACGAGGGTCATTACAAAAAGATTGTCCGCACCCTGGGGATCCGAAAACATCTGTTGTTCGCACTTTCCCAACAGCGCTTTTCGTACAAAGTCGCTCCAGTCACTGCTGTGTGGGTTTGAAAGTGTTTTGTGAGTTGGGTTGCGACTGCGATGCGAGAAACAATTACTGCCGCACTTGTGATTTGCGCCAAATAATAGCAGCATGCAGTTATTCGTTTCTTGTAGTCTGTAGGTGTTTCTTGTGCTCATATTTTATGCGCAGTTAATTTTTCCGTTAATAAAGAGAATCGAAGAAAACAATTATTTAAAAATCGTTTGAAGTTTTAGTTTACAACACAGTCGCGACGATTTAGTTTACTAAGGAGATACGACTAGGCGACGAATTTGCTTTGCGAACAGTTACAAAGAAGGAGACTGCAACGCACACAAAGCTTCGAGTGAAAACTGGCATCTGTTAAACGTCGACTTGCTTTTACGGATGTTTAGTCAGCCTAAAGATAGCAAAAATACCACACGTTTTAACTTAAAAGTAAATTTAGGAACTTTCAAAATAGAATCGCCAAGAAAATTGGTTTGAGGGAACTGTCGGCGATCGGAATGGAATCCAGATAACACTTCGACGAAAACGTTGACTACGCAATAATATTTGAATTACAAAGCAAACGACATGGATAACTTTATGAAACAATGACATCAATGTTTTAACGGTTGGGTTGATTCATCGCAAAAATAAACTAAAACGAGAAAAATAAGGCAAAGACATTGCACAGAGAGGGACAAGTAGATAGAAAAATTGGGTTATATAAAATATAAATAATTCCAACTTATTCCTGTAAAAACATTATTCCATTTATTTGATTATTTCAGCTGTGTGGTTCAGCATAAAGCGGCCAAGGCTTATATTAAGATACATTTTAAAGAATACTCTGCCTAAAAATGTAAGCGGGCTTTCGGGAACATTAGCCTGGAAGACATTTCGACGGCACAAATTGGTTATATGATACTTTTCGCGTAATTCAATGAAGTGTCATAATGAACTTTCATTATCATTTTTTTTCGGTCTCATTGTCTGAATTGTCCGCATCTTCATCTTCATCACTTGTTCCTTCCTCAAGCTTTTCTAGCTTGGACTCTGCCCTGTTCGCCTTCCACGACAAGTAAACGCTCCAGAACAAGGCCAGCAAGCTTGAGAAAATCGGGCGATAGTTTACCGGCACAGCCAAAAAGTTCACCAGTTGCGACACGGGAAACACGACGCACCTCATCATCAGAATGGACAGATACTTTACCCTCACGTCCTCCCTGATCAGCTCCCAGGAATGTCCATGAAGAAAGCCATGGAGAAACATGACGCACAGGACGAAAGGAGGTGTGAAGACAAACTCTCCAAGCGCCACCTTGAGGATGATAGCGGGGACGCGGTCCATCACCACGAGCCATTCCACGAACGCGAACCAGGACACCACCAGGGGACCCGTGTAGGTCAGGCCGATGAAGAAAAAGATGGCCGCTTGCTTGACACTGAATGGTTTTCGTTGAAAAGTCAACTGGGACAGGACGTCGCCCAGGAACGTCAGCAAAGTAATGGCCGCAATTTGAGTGAGGATGGGATGCGTCTTGAGCTGGTCGTTGAACAGCAAGTAGACGTGCTCCATACTTAGGAGTCTTACGGTACCTCTTTCGTTTCGTCAGCAGTGCGCAGCGCTGCACAATAGGCTCAATTATGGGATACGCCTTCCAGATGTGTTTTGTTAGCTCGCGCACCTGGCATGGCAGAGCTGAAACCGGGTCGTGACTAAACTAAGCACACACAAAAAACAAAGCAATCAAGCGGATTGTGTTGCAACGAAAACAACAAAGCACGCAATAGATAGGAACACAATAATGGGTACCTATTTTTATTCACTCTGTTTTCATCACGAACTAGAACCAAAACTGGCCCAGTTCTCAACACTTCTGACCGTACACCGCCATTTCCAAAACTCATATATTATTCAGAGTACCTTATCTCAATGCCGCTGACTCGGCCAGGGATGTTTCGTTAATGTAGCCTGTTATGTTTAATCGAAGCAGTGCATTGTTGAACGTCGTGTTATCGAACTCCGTTGTTCGAAGCCGCATAATCGAAAACCGTTTTTTGAACAGCTGCTAGTGGGTCATTTGTTTAATATTGCAATATAATTAGGACACTAATGTGCGACCCTGCAATATGTTTACTTGTTTAATTAGGTTTTCATAATAATTTGTAGTTTAAAATAAAAAAAAAGTTCCAGTCCAGCGTGGTTGAACTGGTTCTTTTTCATAAAATACCGACCACTATAAGGTTATGATGATAAAGCAATTAAAGCAAACGTGCATGCGGGCTGAACAAGTATAACATTAATAATAATCTCTGGAGAAGGGAAACATGGTGGGCAAAGTACAAACTGAAATCTCCAAACAAAGCTGTCTGGAGGGTGACTGAAAAAATTTGCCTGGTCCTGGTATCGAACCAGGAACATCTATATTTCCAGTGGAGCGCGCCACCAGCTGAACTGCTGGTTAATTCAGTTGGTAGAGCGCTCCACTGGGAATGGAGAGGTCGCTGGTATAATAGCAGGACCGGACGGTTTTTTGTTTTTTTGCAGTCGCGCATTAGTCATTTAGCATGTGTTTGTAGGTTTGTGTTTGTCCTTTTTGCCCCTCTTCTTCTTCTCCACGGAGTATTATTATCGTTATCACTATAAAGTATGCGTTTGCAAACATCTTCAGGTGCATTAGATACTCTAGCTGGGTTGATTAATGGAAATATATAGACTAACACGTAAATATTTATTCATTTATTTATTTGTTTGTCTTCGTCCTTGTCTTTGCGCTGTTTTGTTTTTATCATGTCTACTTACAAACTAGCCGAAACTTCTACGTTAATCAACTATATTTGGTTGCCTGTTTGTTTGAATAGGTGCATAACCATGGAGCATCACAATAAGAGGAGAACTTGCAGCAGAAAGCGGAGGTAAAAACACCAGGAACACGAAACTCTACGGACTCAGTGTAAAGGCTGAACTCAAAGAAGCAAATATGCGGCCCATAACCGACGAACTTTTCCCGGCGGCGTTCGCTCTTGCTGCGGCGTCAAAAAACGGACCGTTCGCCGCATATCTAGCGGATCTACAGGATTTCTTATATAGCGGCTAGGCTCATTAAATCGACCGCAAAAATCTGTTTCTTAACCTATCGCGCGACGCTTTTCTGCAGCGGTGCCCAGAGGTGGTGCATTTTTTAATACAACATTTGTAAAAAGCGAACTTATCCGAGAAAGAAGTAAAAAAAAAAAAAAGGCTTAACTCCTGTGGAAACACAGCGATGCCACAGGTCTTCAAACACTAGGGCGACATTCGGGACGGGACACAAGAGACTGCAAAAACCGTCGTGACGCAAACTTCCGCCAATGAACGAGTATATGGCACCGAGACCCGGCGTCAAATAGCAGACGACGTGTTCGACTCAAAAGTGGAGCAAGCTTTTTCGATGTCAGTTGCCAATGCACGATTTCATCATCCTTGATAATAAAACAGAATAAATTGACACATAATCGATTAAAAAACGGTTTGCCGGGTTCTTTTCACCGTTTTTTTTTTTTTTTTTTCTACGCGGTACTTACATCGTCTGCTTTGCAGTTCCTTGCTACCGCGACTCTTTGTGGTTCTGCTACAGTCGCCGCCTGCGGAACGCGCGCCTTTCTTGAGTCGAAAAGATCGTCTGTTATTTTACGCCGGCTCTCGGCGCCGTATGCTCGTTCGTTGGCGGCAGTTGGCGTCGCGATCGCTTGAGCCATTTCATTTCCCGTGCCAAATGGCGCCCTATTGCTCGAAGACCGGTGAAGGCTTGAAGACTTTCTTTTTTTTTTTTTACTTTTTCCTCACGTAAGCTCGCTATTTGCAAATTTATAGAAATAAATTAACCACCTGCGGGCAACGCTGCAAAGAATTGTTGCGCGATAGGTTAAGGAACAGTTCTTTGCGGTCGCCTTAAAGAGCCTGGCCGCTATTTGAAACACCCTGTATATATTGTTCGCCCGGCGAACGCCGCTATCAGAAGCGGCCGCCACGCAGCGAAGGACGCGGGCCAATAAGAACGTAGTACGCAGTTTGGCTTCGGCCTGGCTCCGATGCACAGTGTTACAGACCATGCATGCTTCCCACCGCCATCTGGACAATCTCTTTCCCAACGAACACTTGAAGGCCTATTACGACTCAAAATAACATTATTGTAGATTACTTGCTCGTTTCGTTGAATTTGTTTCGCGCTTTATACGAATTTGACGTGTTTAGGGAAAGCTTTGTAAGTGGTCGACTTCAGTGGATATTCACTTCCCCCTTGGCAACAGTGACAGTCGCGCTGTCCGCGTTGGCCGAGCTTGCAGCTGTTCGTTTCATGGAATCCAGTGGTGAACGCCGCATACACGGAAGCGCGTCGTTGTAGACTTTTGCCGCGTGTATTTCGCCGTGTAAGTTCGCTCCATGGAGTCCAGCCATAACGAAACACGTACCTTGACACAATTTTATTAGCCGAAATTGAGCAATACTTTGTATTACGGAATGAATACGTACAGCCGCGGACAATATAAGAAGAAAAAAAAAAAGAACTCAGGCCAGCGCGTGGTTTAAGATTTCGAGTGCAATCTAACGGAATTAAGAAAGCTAAGTTCGAGGTGCATTTCAGCAACCGTTCGATTTGTGTCTTCACTCTTACCTGGTAAGCCAAATGCTGAGTCAACAACGATTGTAGTAGTGCTCGATGAAATAAAATAAAAACCGGTTATCGTCATTGATTTTTCGAACTTATTATCAATCACACTAAAACCAATGGCTCCTCCTACAGAACCGGTTGATTCATTTACGGTTCATTTTACCTTTTGTCGGGTGATGCATCTATATTATAGAAAATCAGCATTAAATCAGCAACTGCTTGTCAAGTGGGGAGTGCCGACAAAAAGTGAAGAGCCGCTGAAGCCTCGATAATGTTTTTTTTTTTTTTTTTCTGATAGATAGTGAGACAGGCGCCTTGTTTGGCCAAGTGCTTCTTTGGACTTTTTCAGATCGTTCGGGAATAGAAATAGCTAGAGCTTAATGCCGGATGAAGCATTCCGTTTGCCATGACACTAGCCGTAAAAATGGGCAGATTGCTGCATGCTTGCGTTGTTTTGTGTTTCTCTCTTTGTGAAAAAATATGTTGTTATACAAATCTGTTACTTAGCTTGGATCTACTTTGCAAGTTCTAATTAAGCAATCAAAAGCCGCTGGAGCAAAGCGAAGAACCCAGCGGCGGAAGTCAATCGTTAAAACAAAGTAGCAGTCGCTTCGCACCTGGGAATCAGATCTTTTCTGGACTAAGTAAACTTGACACGACGGGAGCCCACACGGACCGTTAATTGGCTCTTTCCTAGTCCGTGTCCTCGTCAAAGGGCCTTAGAAGGAAACACCGTTCTGGGAAATCATTTGTTTCCGTACGCTTGCCGCCGCTCTGTTCTCGCTGCAAAGCCTAACCTCGTTAGGCGATGACAGGACACCTGTCCGATAGCGTATCTTGGAACATAATCAGGTAGAGACACCAAGACGTGAAAGAAGGTAAAGGAAAGAAGTTGAAAAAAAAAAACGGGTATATCCGATGTCTTCCTAGCCTTTTAGTATTCTGCACAGGCTAAAGCGGTTTCGGAGTTAATTTCGAAATCGACCTGAGAAAAGAGCTCTTATTTGAGTAACAAAAAACTTCAAGTCGGGCGTGTGCTGGGCTTTCTAGTGCATTCATTCGATATTTTCGTCCATGCTTTTTTGTGTCTTTGATTGGGTTTTAATACTCCTGTTCTGAATTAAATCATGAGAATGAGGCATTTGAACGCGTGACACACGCGCACTTGATCAACTAGAATCTAAAAATATTCGGATCGAATGGCTTCGCAGGAGACTTTTCGGGTCCGCGTGCTGTTACTCCTCAACAAGCAGGCTCTCTTGGGATGACAAGTAAAAATCCAGCGCCCTGAACGCTGTTCGATCCCGCGGTCGGAATAGCTGAAAAGCCTGTAAAGCGCTTACTTCCGGAACAAGACGGTTATTTCCGGTGGCTTCATGCCTATTTGCTCAATGCGCCATCCAGCCGCTTATAGTGGAGGTTAGTGGATTAAACTTCTTTATTCACCGAGCGAATGAAAACGGTAGGAGGGTAGGAGAACTCCTTCCAATGCCCGGCCTCCCGCACATGCTTGCTGGCTTCCGTTGTGCTTTGACTGCGCATACGCGCTGGATGCTTTCAAGACTCCTAAACGTTATCGAGGGTAGCCAGCTCGCTCTGAATGTGGGAAAATTAAAGGATCTCCCCGCCATTCGAGTTTTGATGGTGACTATAGCTCTGGGCATTAATGACCTGGAGGTATGGTACCCAAGGCGCGTCTCCCTCCTGGTGTCTTTAGCGTCCAGTCTCACCCATTCGTTAAGAATGATCCAGAAGCGAGAAAAAACGACCTTGCAGAAGCCCGAGTGCCATATCGTTAAATGTCGCGATCCTAGTGGTTGGTCGCAGAACTGCTGGCGAAGAGCATGGGCGAACGCGAGTGTCGCTATCGTCGCGGCGTCCCAACTTCGGGCTGCCGAAGCTTCGGTGGACTGTCGCGCTGGAG